ACTTTCCCGATCTCTAGGGATCGAGCCGGACTTGTTAATGAAAAAAATACAATAAAACTCTTTCACGACGAAACTCGTCTCGAATTCTCGAGACTAGCCTGCTTGTGCTGTGCAAAGAGGACTCGTTCTTCCTTCTGCGTTTCTTCAGACAAAATAATCGATCGTCATAATCAAGTAATGTGACTCTCATATTAAATCTCCGAGCAAATAACTTTGGCTCGAATATCAAAAAGAATTTGTTCTATAAATTCTCAGTCAGTAATACATCATTTATTTTATTTGTTAATGTAAGAATTAATTCATTAGAATTTGCCAAAAAATTAATTAGAGGAGAATTTGTTATAATTTACATTATAACAAAGGAAAATATGATTTTTTTTTTTAAATTAGAACTGCAAGAAACCAAATGGTCGCATTGTCTCCTACGCGTGTGTTTGTTTTCAATAAAATATAAATGCTCCAATGCCCATTTTTTTCAACTACCCCAAGACTGCTTAGCGAGTAGATTTAAACTGCATATTCTTTTCGAAGGGCGCCAGGCTTAATACTGAAGTGTCGGTGTAAACCGCTTTATGCCGCCGCTTTATACCAACCGACCCCTTCGTTCCGCCACGAACGAGACCTCTTACTTATTCATTTATTCTGGCAAGATGAACTTTACGGAGATTTTAATGGCACTCTGACTTTCTTGATATTCGCGCGTACGCAGACCTTTTAAATTTCGTTGCTGGCGAATGATGTATATGGTGTGAAACAGTCCTTTTGCTTGAAGATTTTACGCCATTTTTGCATACATACGGTTGTTCAACAGATTTGATGACTATCTCGTGATTTACGAAAGTGATTACTCTAATGAAAATCAGTCCTATGTTACGTTTGTCACGAGAATAAAGGCAAACGTCTCACTGACTGATGTACGTGATTAATTCCGTGGTTGTAATTAACTCTCTCATAGTAGGGTTCACAGAAGAAACAGATTTAATGGAAGAAATCTTGATTTATAAGGTTTTAATAATGTTTTGCTAATTTTTACTTTTAAATGATAAATATTTTTTAAATCAATATTAATGTCAAAATATTGGATAATGAAATTTTCTTTTACTAAATTATATTTCATGAAAACATTTAACCGAAATATTTCAATACATAAAATTTTAATAAAATCTTATTATTTTATAAAAAATGTTATGCAACATATTAGAAATCTATAACCATAAATTATCACCTATATCCTCCTGTCATTGCCTGGATTCTATGATAAATGGCCCTTCGTGTCATTAATCGTGGATCACCAGCTATTCATTTTTCATAATTCGTCGAATCGGTTGTTCAGAAATTTGCTACAACTTTAAGAAATATGTAGACAAAGAAAATGTTACTGCTTAATAATATATTATTACTACTTTTTTAATTATAGTAAGTATTATATACACATTAAAAGATAAACAGAGATAGAAAACAATACATTAATGCAACATTTCTTAAAAGAAATACATTTTAAATTTTTTATAGAAATTTCTTTAATGTTTTGTAATTTTTTTTTTACTTGCCGTTCGTAAATTGCTCTTTGCAGACGCTCGTCTATTCTGCCAGCCTCGCTTACCGATCGAGATTCGATCTTTCTCCTCCGGGACACAGAACGTGGCCTCGGAATGCGAAGATAGACCTGGCCCAGAGGTGATGGCACACACCTAGTTTTGATTCACCTCATGGTATCCTGCCGGTCACGGGGCTGACGGCGCGTAATTGTTCTCTTGTCTGGTTCTCGCACGGCATCCAACACCCGCCATCCCCGCGATTGCCTTCGCGCCAAGAATGCATAAGCAGCCCTCTTTTACCAATCCGCAATGCTGTAAGGTTTCGTCCGCTTACGACGCCTCTATTTCTGACACGATCCATCGCTTTCATGAAAATCTAAAAAGACAGACAAGTTGATAAATCACGGTTTCCCTTTTACATTGCAATTATTCAATATATATATATATATATATATATATATTGTAATATTATAAAAATGTTTTATCTAATTGTATTTTTATTTAAAATCAACTTATTTTACACAAATCGTGCACATTCTTTCAAAATTAAATTATCATCGTTTCGAAGTTTCGTCTAACTGCATTAATAATAAGCTTTACGACAGGAATGGGCCAAATTTCTTTCCTTCTTTTTTCAATAATATAAAACTCGCAATCTCCGGATTGCTACTTCCGTATTTAACGTCGCATCACTCACGTCTCTGGAGTTTTACATAAAGTATGGACGTAGCGGCTCAGGAACCAATCAGCAGCGATCCGGGAAATTGACAAACGATCGCCTCTTTTTTTTTCTCCCCTATTGCTCAGTCGCATCGTTATCGAGCATTCCTGCAAATCGAAGCGTCCAATACCGTTAATGGATTATTAATGATCGGCAGAAATGTCGCGGCGTTGCTGGTGAATCGAGCTGCCTAGTTACGATTTGCAGGCGTATATGTATCGGCCAGGATTCGGCATCATTCGGTCGCATAATTTCCCGCACTGGCAATCATACCGCGCGACGATAATTGGCACACGACCGACAATCGTCGTAATTTCGCGTTCCCGCTGCGCAAATTCTGACGTGTGACACGCGACGGATCGGCGCTCCTGGGAGGAACCTCATTCAATTAGCCACTCAGTTACTCGCATCACATCGCATTTACCCATCAGGCTCCCGCCCGGTGAACTCTCTGACGACCCTCGCCAAATCTCCTCGTCTGCGCGCCGTGGGGGCCGCCGCGAATTTTGGTCTCCCCGCGAATTCGTGATTTAAACTTTTCGAGAACGACGGCGCGAAGGGGTGTCTTCCTCGGGTACCGAGACTCACGTACAAGGCAAGGATCTCACGAAGCTGTCATGCAGCAAAACGATTTTAGTTTGCGTGTCAAGACGTCGGTGGTTTTGTCTCTCTGCCGCACTTCGTCTCTGAGAAGTCTAGTAGAAGTTAATTTTTCTATCCGCGCGTTTCTTTCAGCGATTGTTTATCAACTGTGGGTTAAATCAATAAAGAAATCGCTTTCACAGTGAACTTTATTTTAAAAATTTAAACAACTACACATTTAAACGCTACATATAAAACATATGTTTTTTTACAGTTTATTGCGTAATATTGCATTTGCTATCTTTTTCTTGTTTTTAAACTTGCTTTTAGACATATACGCGAGTTTTTTTTCAAATAAATACAAGTAAATTAAATTTCATATATCGCAAGTCGTAATCTTCGTGATTTTAATATTTCTATTGAGAACGACATGGCAAATAACAGCCGAAGCCAAAGTGAATGATCACCAACCTATCGGCGAAGGTGGCGGAAGTCGCGCCGCGATGCCGCAGAAGTTTCTACGAATCCGCGGTTGGTTGCAAACTTGCCGAAGGGTCGAAACCGCCGGCGCCGTGAAATTACTCGACGGGTACCTCCCACGGGGCCGAACTTGTCCGCGACAATTTCAAACTTATTTTAACATTCATATAAGCCCCGTGCCCTAGCCTCGTGTGCGTCAGCTCCCCTGAACCATCGTCTACGCATCCCTTTCGCTGCGTAATCCGAGAAGCGACTCATCGACGTACGACGTTTCTTCCTCGATGTAAGGACGTGCAAGCATAAGGGCGGCTTGGGATTTACATAAGATTATGCGTAAGCCTCGCGGTAAGGGGATCGACGAAATGGTGTCGTGGTGAAACAACGCTCCGGGGTGCGCTCATCTCGCACTGATAATTATAATAAAGTGGCGTTATATGATGTACGAGCGTTGCGATAAGCGTCATTGTCGATTCCGATGCGGTAGAGATAATAAGATATGATTCAAGATTCTTTTATCGGTTTTGCAATGCAATCTGATTTTAAATTTCGTATACACGCGACAATATTATCTAAAATACTTATAACGAGGAAAGAAAACTTAATTTGAAATAGTTCTGTGTTCACAACTTTATTATTATTTCCTTTGTTTTATATTTTATTAAATTACATTTTTATTCATAATTTGTTAATTCATTCAAACTTATTAATTTATTATTATTTATTTTTTAAATTAAGTATTTATATCAAATTTGCACCTTTGATAAATATTATGCACAAATAATGATTGCTAGTAATTAAAAGTAATTAAAAGCATGTAGATGCAATGCGACATCACAAACTAATATTAATATACAATATGTAAATATCTTTAATAAAATTAAATTAATAGGTACATCATAAATTATAAATGACTAATTTATAAAATGTTTAAATAATAAATAATCCTTTTTTAATGTTTAATACGGAAATTGTTTTCTATATAAATCCATTTTTGTTAAATTTCCAAACTACTTTATATTTCAATGAGCTAAAGGATTTTATTATTATACATAGGCATTCTTCGCCCGTGGCGTTGTTAAATCTTACCACCCATTCCGTGATACGTTTTATATTCATAGTCTGTGCGAAAATTGTTCCTAGAGCACAATAAAGATTATACGAGCCATAAAGTAAGTTCAGCCTACCCTGCCGATGTTTATTTAAGCGTGGGAGATATGCTACGGGGCTTCTTCTTTTAATTTCATCTCTACCCACATTCCCTTACCCTTACGCCCCTTTCATATTATTTTTTTTTCTTATTATACGGCTTATAAATTTAGTTGGAACAAACCGACAGTGGTTATTGCGGAATCATTGTATCGACCGGGTAAGAGATTTCTTCTGCTAAACATCGAGGGCACTGACTGGAATTCCGAATAAACCTGCACTCTTATGAAAGTGTCTAGAACTACACGATCATCGCAAAGCACGGTTAGTAAAGAAGATTTCTTTCAGAAAGAAGCTATTTGAAACAAGTTAGGATCGCAATCTCGATTTGCGATTAAATATTTTTGAAAAAATTATCTATTAAAATTATGTATGCCAATACTTCGTGATCGTGAGAATAACGTGAAAAAAAAGATATATGTCGATGTTTGATTAGATAAAATTTGTCATCTCTTCTATTGTATACCGAAAAAATGTTGCGATCACGAATACCATTCTTTTTGCAACATGACACATCCGTTTTTATATCTACGCTTTATAATAATCTTCATACATCGCAAAATCTGGCAGGAAAAGGCAATAAGAAACGTAAAAGCTGTGAAGCCACACCTATAGCCGTAGTAGGTATTATAGTATTAAACAATAATATTCTTTTTCTAGTTTATATAAATGCTAGTGTATATAATGCCAAAAGTTAACGTAGAAAATATTTTTTAAATAATTATTATATTTAAATATTTATAAGTGATTTATCTATTTAAATGGTCTTGCATTTTAATATTTGCTCTAAAATACTTCTTTATTTGAGCAGTTTATTTATGTAAAGCGTATCTTATGAAATATTCTATTAATCTAAAAATATGTCCCATATATGTTTATGTGTGTGATTCTGCGAAAGTTATCTATAAAACATATATACTTTTAATATAAATTTCAAACATGCATAACGTTGTAAAATTATCTAACATTTGAGAGAGAAATGTTCGGTATTAAATAATCGTCGTAATTTTCGTTTAATATCTAGTTTAAGTGAGTTTAAGATATAATTGCTCACTCGGGATTCATAATGTTATCTGTCAGTACTATTAAAAACTTTTTCCTCGTATGATTTTACATACGAGTTAAAAGTAATGTCGATATTCTATACTTTCGCAGCGTGATGTAACTCAACGTTTCGGTGCCTACAGCGGGAAACAGTTAAAATTTTTCAATGAAAAAAATTACCATGAGAAAATGTACCGGTAGTCGTTATTCCCGTGCTATTAAATTTTTCTGGTGATAATACATCTTTATAGCGCAAATGCGAAAAATGTGTTTATGATGTTATTTTAATATATGATCGCCTGCGCGTGTGAAAAGAAGTATCATGTGTTTCTCCGAATTTGTGATTTCCGATTTCTGTATATCTATATTTTAGTATTATATCGATATGTATTAGTTCTCGGTGCTTTGTATTTTATTTTTATTTAGTTTTTTATATGTTTTATGTGTTTTTTCTTAACAATCTCAAATCTAAAGACACACATATACACGTTTTTTTACAATTATCTTAAATACAATGCAACTAAAACTACTTCAAATATATTGATTATAATCTGTCTAAATTTTTATAATTTGAATATGGAAAATATAATTACTAATTCTTTAATATATAACAAATTTTTGCAATGTATTTTGCTTTTTTCAGATTTTATGTGGATGTGGCCGACTTGATGGCACAGAAATTTCGGAAGCTATTTCAACAGCCATTCATTTACGACATAAAGATATGAAGCCAATATTTTACGCTCCAGATATTCCACTTCGTAGCGTAGTGAATCATTTTACAAGAGAGATAGATACTACTAGTCCTAGAAATGCTCTTGTCGAAGCTGCCAGATTAGCAAGAGCATGCATTAAACCTCTTTGCGAGTGCGAAGCTTGTAAGCATGGCGGTCTTATTATACCTGGAGGATTTGGTGCTGCACGCACTTTGTACGTTTTTAATTATTGGATAGTAGATAGAATAAAAAAATAATATATAGGTATAATAAGATATAGATTAATAAAAATAATATATAATATACATATATTATGTATATTATATATTATATTAATAATATATAATATACATATATTATATACATATAATAACATTCTTTTGCCTTATTAAAATAATAAAAATTATAAGTTTAGTCATTATATAGATTTTAAGGTTATAGATTTCAATATTAAAATAATAATTTAAACAATTATATTCTCAAATTCGTTCTTTTATGAAGGAGTAATTTTGCCGAGAAAGGTACGGATTGCACCGTGCTACCAGACCTAGAAGATCTTATTGAAGATTTTTATTGCGAGAAAAAGCCAATTGGCACTATGTGTATAGCTAGTGCAATTGTTGCTAAAGTATTGAAGGGTGTGACAGTTACGCTTGGCAAGGACTGTAAGTCGAATTATTTCCTTGTTGATAGCCTTTATTTTATTACATTTATAAATCATTACCTAGCACCCAAGAAAGACTGGCCATACGCTGATGCGATCAAGAAGGTTAAAGATATGGGCGCTAAAATTGAAATGCAAGATGTTAAAGGAGTAACTTTCGACAAGAAATATGGCGTTTTCAGTACACCAGCCTGGTTGTACGAAGCCGCTACCTATTCGGAAATTCACGAAGGTATTGGTCAACTTATTACAATGTTAAAAAAGTGTATGATTAAATAATATGTTTTTGAAAATCCTATCTTGTAACTATATTACGTCTTAAAAATTTACTATACTATATATACGTATTTTATATCTATTTGTATGCTCTCTTTTATAAACAAAAACTTTTATAAATATAAACCTGTACGTTACTTTTGTAACTGGAATATTGTTTGTATTATGCACATTTTATTTCTACAAATTAAAAATAATTATTAAATTATTAAAATTAATGTTACCTACCTTGCAAAAGTGTATTTTCCTAGCATTATTACAGGATATTACGGATAGGAGAACGTTATTTTCAAAAAAATATATTTTATTTAATTTTTTTATCACGCCCTTTCGAAATAAAATAATTTGAATTGGGCGTTTTGAATACGTTGGGTAGATCAATAATCTAATGGTACAGTTAATCTAATCAACAACAAGTGAAACAACAATGAATCGAGATCTACGGCGAAGATTATCCATTGATTTAGTATTTCTGTTCGTTAGACAACGCGGCAATCTTCGCCGCGAATTTCGTCCGGGGTGAAAGTCGTTCTGGAATTCTACAAGAATTCTAGCACGATCTCTTCACTTTAACTCTTTTAATTTCATAATAATTGCGATTGGCAAGAAATAAGTTTTGAGATTTTCTTACTAAATTATAATTTTGTCATAAATTTTGAAGCCTATAGTCTCATTAAATCTGTCAGCACAAAAAAAGATAGCATATTTTCATAACCAATAACGAATACAAAATGGGCAGTCTTTATTAGTTTACTGAATATATATAGATCTTCACATGCTTATAGTATATCCAATTAAAAGTAATATTGCTGGTGCACGCGACCATGAAGCCGCGCGTCTTTAACATAATATACCACGGAAAAACGTGATATTAACCCGTTTCTGCTTCAGCTAAAACACTAAAATACGTAAAGATAATATCAAAATAATTTATTCATAATAATACCGAAGTTTTTCGTAAGTCAACCTGAAATCACGGTCAGAATTTTACTACATGTCTTTCCACAGGTCTGCGTCTTTTTGCATTTTTACATTTTCAACACTTGTAATGTAACTACTACAACATATTTCAAAGAGGCAAGAGCAACGAATGCAAATGTAGAAACCATGACTGAAAAGAACAGATCTCATAAATATTCTGGAGTATATCCTATGTGCTTACGCGTTTCACATAATTATAGGATAACGAGCCTCGTGATTTTAGCTACAACACAAGTGTCGCTGGTAAGAGTTACCGATTCCGGAATCGTGGCTTACTCGAGCGTAACGTTTCACGTACGAGCAAGTGAATTCAATCAACGTAAAAGGTCTTCATGAATAATCGTTGCTAGTTAGCTTTGCAAGCGCCTTGCCGAAACGGGAACGTTTCTCCAGAAGGTGTTTGTACGATTGGCGGAACATATATAGCACCACATGGAATTTTCTTAATCGACGCATTATAGATTAAAAAAAAAATCTTATATTTAGGATTTTTCAAACTCGTGCGGTTATCACCTAACTTAGAGAATACCTTAAACGTTAAGGCCACATGCGTTTTTAGATCCAACAACGATTGGCCGATGTAAACAGGAACGGCAGTGCCTTATAGTCTTAATGCTACTACCTTAAGCTCTATTAATTATTTCGCATTTTCGCATTGCTCAGGAAATGATATAGAAGTTTTGTACAATGCTAAATTTATAACTATGAATATTAATGTTTCCACTTAAGCTTATCTCTGTTATCGATACAGAGCGGATTGTATAATCGGCGATATTTCGCGTTAATTTCGAAATACGATTCTCCGAATCGCCAGCTTTTCGACTTGAACGAAAAGTTTATATGCGCGCACATATCGCATATCGTTCGCAAACAGGCAAAAATGCGAAGCTCCTCTATTCTTGTCGCACGCGCGTTTTCAGTACATTCTCCACCAATGATAGAAATACGACGCTTTTCAAACTTTGGTTCTGATCTCGTGGCCAAATTTCGCGTTTGGGAGGTTTGCGTCCATGTTAACATACACCTTAACGACATTTGTCCATGCTCAACTGAGAGCGAGCAACGGTTCGACGGACATGCGAGACCTTCTGGCTTTGTCCTCCTCGTATTGCTTCATCTTCATAAGCTTCCACTTGCCCTTGCTCTGCTTTTTCTTTGGTATTTCCTCGGTAGTAGAAACTTCCTCCGCGTTAGATTGCTCCTCTTCCTCCAACATTCTGAGAGTCTCGATGATATTTCTAGGTTCCGTGACACGTCCAGTGGAACTGCCATTCTTGTTGGCATATACCACAGAAAGATGCGAGAAACTCGACTTCGGCGGTGCCGTAATATCAGCGAAATCGCGGAAGTTCGCAAAGAAATCACCGCCACGAATCGGTTGTGGTTTTGGATTTCTATAATAGTGCGCGCGACCACGACTGTGATAATACGGATTGTAAAGGCTCTCGTCTACCGAGTACTCGTCATTTTCCTTGTCTTCTGGATAATAAGTACCACCGCGTATCACGCCGAAGTTACCTGAGCCCAATAGGGAATGCTGATCCTTCGTAGCAGCAGCTTGATAATTGCGATCGCGTTGGAAGTAGCCTAAAAATCTGTTGGGACGATATCGCTGTTGCTGTTCCGCGAACGAAAGTCTGTGATTCCCAAAGAGCTCCGCGAAAGACGGGAAGAAATTTTGGCTTTCAGTTTCTAAATTTTTGCCTCTCACATCGGCAAATTGAGCGACAGCTGTATGATCCGTATTTTTTGCCTCCTGATCTTTAGAAGCTTCAGGTTTCTCTGTCTCAGTTTCAGATAATTTCTCGTTATTTTTATCAGTAGTTTCTGCGGTAATCACTTCGCGTTGATTAGTCTTTTGCGTGCTTTCTTCCGAGCGATCTGATTGCGGAATAGTCTCAGATTCATCCGGCTCCATGTACATGTCGGAATCGTCGTATTCTTCGCCTACTTCGGATGCTGACGCCATTGAGTCCTGAAACAGAGAGACAAAAATTCCTCCAATTATACTGGAAATTAACATCGACTTTCGAACAATAAATATCGAACGGGAGAAAGTCTGCACGATGTAATCGACGTGCCGTATGGAAAAATGTTTTACGAGTCGCTAAAACGTACTCTCCTAAATTCAACAGTTTGTAATTCATAAACTTTCCTCACGCTTTCAAACACATGGTTATAAACGTATAATGAGCAGAACAGTCGCTAAGCTTTAATATCAGGAAATTAATTTCAAGCGAGGAATTACTGACATTGATCGTTCATACACGTAGCACATGAAGAATATTAAATTTCTTGTTATGTAATTTTGATCTAATATTGTTTCAAAGTAGCGTTTCTACAAATGATACTTTCAACGCTAATTCAATATTATATGATAATTATGGATTATGCATTAACGGAATCTAAATAAGGACTTTCAAAAGTTAGCCTAATTTTCTTTTACAACCCTCTTGCAATTTTTTCACTTTATATTTTTCTTAAGTCATTTTATTGATTTGACTATTTGTTGATTTGTCTTCAAAAATAAAATATAGATAACTACTATCAAAAGCATTATTTTTTTTTTATATCATTTTTCTCGGAATTATTTCGTAGCATCTGCAGTGTAGATAGCCTTTGCAGTGATTAGAGATTATACAAGTCTGACAGGAAAGATTTCAATGGATGCGAAGTGCAACAGTTCCTTTCGCAGAACGCATCAACTAAGTATGCATTCGTGCTTGTGCGTTCGAGCAGTTCATCGTATTCTTGCCTTGACATTTAAGGCATCTTCGTGCCAGCGACCGCCTGTGTGCCAAGACTGGTTACCATAGGTACGTTATGATCCGTACGTTGGTGTACCGTCTATACATACCGTTCCACAAAATAACGCGATTCGATTGTACCCGGCGCACGTGTACACGCATATGCTCACGCGAACGCATAGATGGTAGTTGAAATCGATTGCAACACGTCGGCGACACGCCTAGCATTGTTACGAATATGTCAGGTCAGCATCTCGTCCGACATAACTGTGTCTGCCTTCTCGACATTAGCATAATATCGCGCTCCCGTGTTGAAGTCACCTTTACAAACACGATACCGCAAATAATTGCAGATGTATTAGAATTAAGATTTTTGCACGTCAAAATTTGTTAAAATTTTTTAATTTTTAACATTTTTTAAGTTAGTACGAAAATAAAATAATATTATAAATATATTTCTTCTATCATGTGTGTGTGTGGTGTGTGGTGTGTGTGTGTGTGTGTGTGTGTGTGTGTAAAATAAATTTATACAGAACACATACACACATATTTTGTATAAGTTTTCCCTATAATATATGTAAAACAAATACATAAGATTTTGCAATAAAAGGATTATGAATCAATGATTTGCGATAAGTATACTGACGTAAAAGGATAGTAGTAGCCTATGGCTGTTCTGAATATTACAAAGGATTGTAGACAATAAATTTTACATGCACTGGCGAATGAGTATGATGGATGCCGCATCGCGGTTCATAATGCGAAATGAGCGATAGAGTTAGCAAATAAGACACTATGCATGGAGTTTTGATCGTATCAGGAACAAAGTAATGTGTCGCAGTTAATCATTTCAGTATAATTATTCGCGTTCTTCAACTAATGTAATTAAGCAGCACTATCATCTTTACAGCAAGACAAATTGAAAGACTACCTTTGCAACACCATATATTATGTAAAATTACGTAAATATTTCGTATCGTGTGAAGAGATCAAATTAAATTAAATTTTTAAATCTAAATGTTCATTAATTCTTTAATGGCATATAATGCGATTAATAGTAAATAAATATTCATGTTATTAAAAATAATATATTATTTTTTATGAAAAAACAAGTTATTTGCAACAATAACTTATTTTCTAAATTGAAACTTTTAAAAATATATTCTATGATATATTATATATACAGGTGCGGACAATCTATAAAGAAAGTATAAATAAGAAACCTTACAGCTGCCTGTCATCAAAAGCGATAAAAATAGGAGACAGAAACATAACTTTGCACATCACCATATAATTAGGAAAGATATAATTAATTGAATATGAAGAGAGAACAAGTCATAATTATATGATCAGAAGACATGATTTAATCAGTCAATACGTTTGAATGATTTGCAAAATTAACATTGCAGTGAAAGTACTAGCATTCCAATTTTTATTTTTCTTTGATATTGATCTGAATGTTTCACTGTATGCACACATGTATATTTAATAAAGTTCTCTGAGATATACAATTATTATTTTCGAAAAAACACGTGAATACATAAGCATTACATTACATTTTAATAAAATATATGAAAAAAGTTACTTCAAGAGCCATGTTATTACATAATATTGTCTAAATAAAAAGATTTAAATCCATTCAAACTTTTAAAAAACATACATATTAATAATACATATTATTATTATTCGGAAGTATACATCAAATACAATTAACAATAATAAAAAAATAATGCAACAGAAAGATAATCATGTATTACAATTATACATGATTACAAAATAACAAGTATCGCGTTTTACACATCTGACAGGAATATTGTGCGAAATAATTATAAACTAAGGAGTTAAAGTATTACTGGAGTAAAATAGCATACATTTGCCCAGAAATACCTTACAGCTGCTTGTTTGCATGGATGTATTATTTCTTTCGCCATTTTAACCCAACATTTTGTGTAACATTCAAACAGGATTTGAAGCAGCATGAAAGGTTTAATATTCTTTATAACGGACGAGATAGACTGACAAAAAGAGAAAGGAGAGAGAGAGAGAGAGGA